ATATATTTTATTATAATTGTATATGTATTTTACCTATTCATATATACGTATAACCATAAAAAATATTTATTTAGGTTAGAAACATTAGATAAAGGTATGATATATTGCAAACATTTATTATTACTTTTTTTTTTTATAAAATAAGTAAATATAAAATAAATATATTTTATAAATATTTAGCAATTTTTACTTTTAATTTAATTTTTCCGATTTTTGTATTTCGATAATCATAACAAAATTCATTCAAATCATACGTTATCAAATCATAAACGATTTAAATTTTATAGATAAACATAATCGAGTAGTTCATAATCATGAATCTTTTCATGTTCACTTTATGAACAATTTTAAAAATCAAATTTGAATAGTTTTACATTTTTAGACAGTTTAGTCAATTTCGTTCAAACAGATATTTATATTAAAATCAGTAGAAGTATAAACAATGTACTCAAATATCTCAGACTTTTAAAGCAATCGATAATTATAGTTGTATTTCATTATGATACAAATTAGGTTGTTATAAAAAATAATGTGTACTTATTCAATAATAAGTACACAAATAATTGTCAATACAATTAATTTTATTTAATTTTTATTTGTATTGTTAACCATTATTTGTAATATTAAAATGTATGAGTATTATACCTAACCACCTACTATAATTAAAATGTAAAAAATTAAGAAAAAGAGCTAATGCTGGGGGCAGATGAAGCTACTGTTGTAGGTGGGAAGTTGGGAAGGCAGTATTATCTCTTATTATTATTTTATTTGTATTCAATATTTAAATTTAATAAGCTGATAACAAGATTTAAGAAAAAAAACATAAAGTGCTTTTAGTAATTTTATTTAAAACTCTAAACTGATGTCTAGACGTTTTTACCTGTTCCCATATTACTTAACTTCTCAATTACTTAACCTCTCCGTATCACTATTTCCTCAGTATCATACTGCCAGTCATACTACTCATCCACCGACTGTGTCACTGGCTCCTAAAACCCTCTAAGCCTAAAAAACTATGTATTTCCTCTTATTCTGTATCTTAATATTATTATTATTTATCTACTCCTGTATCCCAGTTTTGACCAGCATCTAATTTACAAATAATAAATGTACAAACAGTTCCATTTGTTCTGCACATCTAGAAAAAATTATAATCTAATTTTGTAGTCTTTTTGTCCTTGTAGATTCAAATTGACTAAAAAATAATTTTCACCACTTATTTAAACCCATAAAACGTAAAATAAAATTGTACTTTTATTAATTTGAAACAATGATACCTACATATTTTATTATTTCATCTTGCATAATGAACAATAGTGTTATAATAAAGTACATAATATGTATAGTATGTTTAAATTGTGTAAAATAAGTGCTTATATGAATATTAGAATATTATAATTTAAAGTATATTACTACAATAAGTGGCTTTAAGTTTTAAAACTAAACAAATTTAATTTTAATGATAAACAAATTTAGATCAAACATTTATATTAAAATTAGAGTGAGAAATGTGAATTAATTTGAATCTAAATTAAATATATTATTTTTAGTTAGTGTTTTTAAATGTATCATGTACAATGAATGCCAATTTTTTTTTAAATTTCTAATTTTAAAATTGTATACCTTTTTAAAATTAAAAATGGTTTTAAAATATCTAGACGAAGAAGAGATCATATTACTAGAATCATTATCTAAATGAAAATTATAGATTAGAACAATTTAGTAATATCGAAAAAAAATAAATAATCAAAAACTTTTATCCAGATAAAAAGATAATTTTTTAAAAATTATTACCTATGACTTATCATAAAACTAATTAATTAAAGTTTACCCTAAATAGTTCATAACTAGATTTTAAAAAGATTGTATGATTAATGTAATTTAATACAATTATAAAAATTAAATAGGTTTCCAATTATTTTTCTAATATTTATTACAATTTATTTAATATTAATTAATACATTATAAAATGACTCATATAGATTAATCAATTATTTATCTAAATAATATGATAAATGCAAAATTCCACTTATTTAGTTACATTTGTCCACATATAACACAAGTCAACAAATTTATAATGTCTACTTAAAATGTTATATCGTTTTATTATCGATCATGTCATAATAAAACGAAGTGATTAGTTCGAAGTCCGACGTGATACTATATGTTTTCACGTTTATGTAACTCCTGATCACTAAGATATACAGGATTGTAAACGAATGTTGATAACGGATTTACCTTAATATTATGATTGAGTGGAGAATGGGGGGAGTTTGAGCTCTAATCAACACTAGCCGCTTTTTGAGTTTATTATTATTTAATATTCAACATCACAATACAAATTAGTAATTACAAATCTTAAAAGTAGTGAATATCAAGCTGACTGTAATGTAAGACGTATAATTTTATTATATCTATATAATATAATAATAAACTATTATACCAAGTATATTTTACGAAGCATTAAAAAATCGGAAAATTAGGATATTTTTGTTAGTGTTCATTAGTTATTACTCATTGATCTTTTAATGACTATAGTACAAAAAAGTTTTGACAAAAAATGTTCTCAAAATCAAATAATTATCATAGCAATTCAAATATGTAAAAAAAAAGACAAATATTAGGTATAACGTGTAAAAAAATAATTAAACATGTCGTCGATTATTTTTATTTGAAATGTAGGAAGTGGAAGTAGGAAGTAAGAAGTAGGTATCATAATATCAAAATATTAGGTATTCACTATAATTTGTAATAATTGTATAATATAATTAGTATTTAGCCAGTGATATACAATGAAAATAAAACGTAGGTACCTATTATATATTTTAAATAAAATATAGCACCTATTATAATTGATAAATTATTATGTAGTTATAAGTTTTGATAATATTTTTTTGTTGTAACTTTTTTTTTTAATTGTTTATTTTGTGATAATATAAATTGTTTCATTCTCATAATGATGAAGTATAAGAAAATGTTTGTCATTATTTCAGTTTTATGATCATTACAAGGGAATAATAGTAAATCACTATGTTCTTCAAGAACATAATCAATTGTTATATTTAAAATGTCTGGATCTATATAATGTTTGGTATAACCTTCTTCAATGGTTGTTATTAGTTTGGAAAAGGTGTGATTTTGATATATAAGGTAACCTCTTGTTTTCAAATTAATAAATGCGGCTTCAGGTTGTTTTACATCAGCACGAATTAAAATATAAGAAATAAGTATGAGTAAAATGTAACTATGTAAGTATTGATGCAGTAATAACAGTGCCTATTTTGTAATGTTGATTACTCTAAAGTAATATTATGATTATCTAATTGAAATATTCTTTTAAGTTATGTGTTTTATTTTGTATTATATAAATTATAATTTAAATGGTTTCTTCTATAATAACATAAAACATAACTTATAACAAGTAGAACATCGTAGTTCGTGATTTTCAGATATATATAAATTCAAATTAAAATAATTAGTAAGCTGATTTATTAATTATTTATAATGGGTATCTAGATAGCGTTAGTGTTGACTAGAGCTTGTTCATCGCTCATTTAATACATTAAGGAGGAAGCACCTTTCATACTCTCCAAACCTATCGTTTCTAGTCCTGTATATTTTAGTTTGTGCTCCTGATTGATCGTAATATTGATAATACTGACCAATTCGTGATGTTGATAGGCGTTATAAATATTATCAACCACAGACCATATTATTGTACTATAGTTATATTATTTTATTATACAAAAAATTAACACTTGGTAATACAACCAAATTAATTAAACAAATACAATACTTAAAAAAAAAAATGTCATCATAATTTAGGGTAAGATTCGTTATTTTGGTTTAGCTATTTTATATATATTTTAATAATTCATATTCAAAGTTTAGTTTTTTTGTTAATTGTAAATTACCTATTAGTAAATTGTTTTTATTATCAAAGTTATACAATAATTCTACAGTCATTGCAAAACCACTTATTAATACCTATCTTAACCTAAACTACCGCGAATATACCTGTGCAAATATATATGTGATAGGTATGTAAATGTATCTGTTTCGATACTTTTACTACCTAGGTAATACATATATTATCTATGCTTACTACCATCATTATCAATGTTACGATCAATCAGAGGGTAGGAGTTTCGTATGGGACGTAAAAACATAATACAGTTTTACGTTGGACGTGGAAAAAGCTACTGCCATAATAAAAACCCTTCTATCGTGCTTGGATATTACTAAGTGTGCATAAGCCAATTATAGAAAATTGTGATATGATGCTCTAGACGACTAGAAAATTATAATATTATTACAATAATTGAAAGAAAAAATGTATTTACTAATATTTTTATGATAATTACGAAATTGAAGTAATAATATTACTGATACTCGTTCAATAGAGACCAATAGATCTCTTGAGGTTCTACTAAAATATCCGAGGAAAAAATGTCCGAAGATAAAAATATTCGTAGGTAAAAAATATAATACCTATATAATTAAAATGTATAAATATAAATAATAAATTAAATACAATTTTAATACGTAATAATAATATATAATATTCATAAGTGTATAATAATTGTCAGTGATAAAATTGACTTAAAAATACATTATTCTACTCTAAAAAGTTTTCATTCATTTTTTTTTTTTTTTGGTGGTTCGATATTTTTCCTTTGATCTATTGTGCACTGGTTAACCCCCAATTCCTACATCATTTTTTCAATCAATAGCTAAGTGAAAATGTGAAAGTAATTTGAAAAACTTATGATTCCATCCTTCAGTTTCGTTGTTAGTTATCTAGCTATAACTACAGTGTATATGTACGCGCCGGAAATTTTTACCTCCAGATATATTTTCATTGAACATGTTTACCTACAACCAGTTGTCTTTGTCATTGAAAGAAACTGTAAATGAACAAATAATTATCAAAATTAAAATTATTCAAAAATATACACAAAAATATTATACAATTTAAAATAGTTCAGTACCTTTTAATTTTAAGAAGAAGAGCGGCTACTGGACTGAGAACGGTTGTCTGAACGTGAATTAGATTTTAAACAACTACCGGAAGCACTTCTAGATTTAGGTCCAGATCTTCGAAAATCAGATTTCGAAGAGGAACTTTTTGATATTGGACTCCCAGATTTTGTACGTGATGTATATCTAAGATAAGATTACATATATCATAAGACAAATTGTTATTTGAATATTTTTACATAATAACAATACTAATAATAAAAAAAAATACTAAATAGTTTGTAAATGACTTACAACTTTCAATTCAAGTGTATATTTATAATAGGTATATTGGAATAATACTATTTAGTACACATTAATTCAGTGGCGTATTGACTTAGCTTTATGGGGGTGGGGGGGGGGTGACACTAAAATGATTATATACAAGGTTATATTCTACTCTATTTATCTTACCATGAAGTGTTTTTATTTTTATTTTTGTATCTGATGATACTTTTCTAGCAGTATTAAATTTATGTATATATATATACATATAGCTACATATAGCTTTATATTGCTATATATATATTTATAGCAAATGCATATAGCAAATACTTATACAAATTAATTAGTAGGGAGGCGATAGCCCCCATCGCCCCTCCTCCCTAAATACGCCACTTCTTTAACTAAGGTTATTTCATATAGAATTTCTTGTTATTACATACAATTTCAATGTAATTATAGCCCAAGTAAAGAATATATTATTGAAATATAAAACGAATTCATAAAACAAAAAAAAAATTCTCAGTTTATTTAGGTACCAACTATACAATAGTTATTATGCGTATTATTAGATAGCTAATTATTTATTCGTGTATAGGAAGTTATTATGAGTTTTTGACTATTATATAATGCATGTCCAGTAAAAATATACATGAATATTATGTATTTAATATACGTAGATATACTCTGAGATATGAACACCAAATTATGTGTTATATACGAAGGAATTTGGTGTTTTATTGAGATAATTTACGTGTACCACTAGTTAAAAAGACAACTATTTCACTAAGATTAAGATTTATATAATGAAGATTTATAAAACGCGTATTAACAATCTGTATATAAGACGTACATACTACGCGTATTTATTACAAATATTTAAGGATATATTTAATATATGTTTTGTTTAAAGGCGGAGTATGTTTGTTGAATATTTGGTGTATAATTTGGATACTTTAAAAATAACCAGGTATTCTACATTTATATTAAATATATTTTCCGTATGTAAAACATGTATACTTAGTATAAAGTACATATGTTTCTGGTATAATTTTAGTATATAATAAATATATAAAATGTATAGGTTTGGTTTGTTATATGTATATATTTGGTGTATAATCTGATTTTAAGTACAGTTCATGTTTAGTGTATTTTACTTTTATGTTTCGTATACTTACTGGAAATCTAAAATCATTCTCCCACAAACATTTTTGTTTATAAAAACAGTATATAGTAAAACACTAAGCAGTGTACATTATAGTTAGTACTTTAAAATTATTTAACTCATATTTGAGCATCAATAAAATATCTTATTTAAATAAAACTAATGCTCGACTTTAATTATTTTGAAAACTTACTTTATTACGTAATCATTTATATACAAATAAAAAAAAGATATGCTATTAATAATACAAAAGTCACATTTAATTTTTTGTACTTGTATACTTTTAACATACCTATACTCATATGCAATAAATAAAAAAAAGAAATCTTAGAATAATGGGGACGGATGCAGCTACTGTTATAGGTAATTTAATTTATACCTGTAAGCAAAGATAAACCATTGCTTACAAAAAAACGATTCTGAGCGGAGTTCAGTTGATAGTGATACTATGTCAACAATATATAATGTTATATTATAATAAAATAATTAAAAAGGCTTTCTATATTTTCTATATTATTTGTTTAATGTTGTACCGATTTTCCCAGTTTTCCTACGTTTTTCCTCCGGTTTTTTTTTCTGTTTTTCATACTTGCCTGGAAAACTCATGAGAAAATCGAAAAAAGACCTCCTAAGTATCTCCCCAGTCGGATTTCCTTTTGGAAACACTGCTATTATTATAAATTGGAGTAAAATTACTGGCAAAAAAGTTGTTCACAGGAAAATGAAGGTCGTAATATATTTTAAACTTCTAAAATAGAACCCTCTAAAAAGTGCTATACGCAATCTTTAAAAAATTTACCATTTCAACACAATCTGAATCAAAATTATTTAAAATTTACTGGAAACTATAAAATATACAATATACTGTTAACTATATATTAATTTTAAACGCATTTTTATTTCATCAATTAAAGTGAGATAACAGATAGATGTAAACATTTGTTTGAGGTGTTTAAAAAATGGTCTTGGTCTATAGATGTGTTATCTGAGATGTAAATCAAAGTGTAATGAATCAAAAAGTATCACAAGTGTTATCAGAATGATATTTTGTGAAGTTTATCCATCAGGTTCTACATTAGAAAAGGAAAAACTCATTTAAGAAAATAAATTGCTAAATTAATAAATTCTACTGCTTTTTAATGTTCAAAAATTTATCAATGAGTCTGAAAAAAAAATTGATGAACATATTTTGACATTGCTGGCAACAGATCAAGAAAATACTTCAAGAATATTTCATACAGCCTTTTTATCTTAAAACTAAAAATGAATGTCTAAACACATTAGACAAATTTGCTAAAACTTACAGATCTCCAAGAAATAAGTGGACTTGATGTGGGAAGAATACTTCAACTTAAGTAGGCTCTTATATTATTGATCGTCTGGTCTTAAAAATGAAAAGGGAAATTTCTGTGGACATTGTGAAAAATAATAGAAAAATATGTGTTTTAATTGATGAGCCTACAATATTAAGTAAGTAAATCTATGTTAGTTATATATTTATGGTGTGCAATTGATGAACTTTATGAAAAATACACATTTTTGTTTCATATCGTTGAAGTATCAAATTATTTAGCTAAAACTGTAAAAAAATCTATATCTAGAATATTATAGAACATTGATTTTTGAAAATAAATTGTATTTATTTAGTAATTTGGAGCTTCTATGGAGAATTTTAGGTAAGGTTGCTCATAAAGCAAAATTTAGAATATTATTACAGAAAAGTTGTCCATATGTACTTTCTCATTGCTGTAATAACCGTTTAGATTGGTTAAAAGAAGTAAGTGGAATTAATCATTTCTAATCATTTATTGAAAAATTAGATTCATTGTATCACATGTAACTAAAAAAATATTAACGAATTAAAAAAAATTGTATGATCAAAGAAGCTCTAATGAATAAGTAAAGTAAAAGTGAAAAATACTTTAAATCCATTGAATTTATTCACAACCATAGTATATTGTTTGATGCTCATATAGAATTATCAGATTTTTTCTTTGAGCTCCAAAAAAATATAATTTTGACACTTAGTCAGTCCACTTAATTCTGACTTTACAATCGTTTTTAAATAGATAATATATATATAAATGTTCAAAAAAAAAAAAAAAAAAATTGAAAAATTAGATTTGTTTCACATAATTTTTCGTCAAAATTTGATATTAAAATTCCCTTATAAAAAAAAAAAAACTACATTTACTTAATTTTTTTTTTTGACTACAAAGTAAGACTCTTAATGAATTTCCTGTTAAATTTTAAAGCATTTATGTTCTAGTCTAACAATTTTACTATTGAGTACTTATTGAATAAATATTACGTACAAAACTCTTAAAATTAAAATGTCTATGAATACCTAAAAAATAGTTTAAATTTTTTGAAAATATTACCTCGTTTAGTAAATGCAAATATAACTTTTTTGTCTAAACTTCAAGTTTCTACGAATATTTTTACCTGACTTACAACGAATAGCAAAATTGAAAAAAAAATAAAAGCATTGTTTTCGTAAATTTCTTACGTTTTATCCTGATTTTTCCCAGATATTATGAAAACCGCTTGGAAAATCAAAAAATGACCTCCTAAAAGTACCATCTTTACAACATTATCTTTCAGAAATGATGCCGCACGTATATATCTAAGCAAGATTTATGGTTAGATTCTTATACACAGGATAAAAAAATAAAAATAAAAAAAAATTATCATCTTATTAAAACCAATACATTCTTCGGTACACTTAGAATCTAAAAATTGGTTAAATTTAGACTTTAGTAAGGACCTGGGAACGCATCTCAATTTTTAGTAATTTTATTTCCTCTTAAAGTTTTTCCTACTTTAACCACTATTATTCACAATGCCACCACAATCACAGCTTTTAATGAAATATTGTCATTTGAAAATTTAAAATGCGTGCAAATAGCTCAAAAGTCGTCGTGAAAACACTAAGTAGATTAAATGCTGAAAAGTATTCTGTGAAAATTTCAGATCTGCGATTTTTTTAATCGAATTACAATAAAAAAAAATTAGAAAATCAAAAAATTACTTCTCTAATGCATCAACTAGATCCAAAATTAAACTTTTTTGTTGCAAAGATTAGAAGAGCTTTTATGATTTCCACAAAAAAAAAAAAAATACTTATCATAGTAAAACCAATATATTCATCGAAGTGTTCAGAATCTAAAAAAAAAAAAAAAATATTCTCATAAAATAATAACAAAATACACTTACTGTCCCATAATTCTTTTTTTTACATCGCTATCGCTACTGTCATTTTCACTAGTCGATATAATGGCCTTTGATACAATTCTCATTTTTTGTTTTGATGGTAACATGTTTACCTTTTCTTTGATCTTCAACTAAACATAATTTTTATCGTATATAATTTAATAAACTATTGCTCTTAGTCATACACAAAAAAAAAAATAAGAACATACCGAACGAGGTTTCTTATTTGCTGGTCTATCACTACCAGATTTGCTTGATGCAAGACTCTCTCTCGGACGTTTAGTAGGTTTGTTCTTTTTGTCTTCTTTATCTTTGCCACTGTAATACATTGTTAATTATATTATTGAATGTATTAATTATATTCACACGTACAGATAAAGTAATACAAAACAAATTCACACAGTCAAATCTCAATACTTAATTACAATACAAAACTATCATTAATATTATTAAAACAATTATAATATCGTATAAAAAAGATTGTATAATGAACATATTATGCACATAAATTGAATATAATTTTAAAAAATACGAGTATACTTCGCGCTTGGATAGGCCACTATAGTAGATGAGACGTTGAAAAAGTATTAAAGGGGAAATTTAATGTATATCTGTAGGCAACGATAAATCATTGTTAACGAAAAAACGATTATAAGCGGAGGTGAGTTAATAATGTTACTTTGTCAACAACATAAATGTCATATTATGGTAAAATAATCGTAATCTATAATTACATAGACAATATAAATTTTCTTAATAATATTTGTTTAATATTGTACCGTTTTCCCATGTTTTTTTCTATTTGTTGAGAAAACTCTTAAGAAAATCAAAAAAATGACAAATTTAAATTACTTCCTCAGTAAAATTTCCTTTTAGAAAAATCGCTATCATTATAAATTGGAGCAAAATTGCTTGTAGAAAAATTGTCCACAGAAAAAAAAAAAAATGTTACTAATATATGTCGTACATTTTCTCGTTTGAAACCAACGCTTCTTCGCTCCATTTAGAATCTAAAACGTTAATACACATTATGCAAAATATAAGTTTTCTATCCAAATTTCAAGTCATTACGAATATATTAAACTGAACCATAAAAGCATTACTTTTGTACATTTTCCTGTTATTTGACAATTCATCCCTGTTTTCCCAATTATTATGAAAACCGCATTGAAAATTAAAAAATAACCTCTCTTAAGTACCACGGAGATAAGACTTCCTTTCAGAAAAGATGCTTTACTAGATATACCACAGCACAACATTTTGAACAACAAATCGAAGGGTATATTTTGATTAAAATAGTCCGAACAAGCAACTAATTGGGCTTCTAGGTGTATCCCATAAGCGTGACTAGACTTCATTCTCAGCGGCAGCCTAGCTAATGGCCGAAGCTACTTAATGAACCGAAAATTAAATAGGAGGGTGGTTAGTCCCCCCAATTAAATATTTATATAATTTAAAAATATCTGTATTATCTATTTCCAATTAATAATGTACAATATTTTTAGCACTTTTAAATTTAACAATAGAAATATTATTCACGTACAAGCCTGGATTACACCGCTATATAATTAAGTAATTAACAAAATATATGATGTGTTAGTATATCTAATAACAAAAAGATAGACTGATAGAGAATAATATTAATATAATTATATAAAAATGCATAGCACATTTTTTCTTTTTAATAAAAGTTGTAAGCCACTAGGCATAACATTGGGTTGACCAGCGTCTTTCAAAAATTGCAGAGGCAACCTTGGCACCTTAGGTTGTCATTGTAGACACGCCTATGGTGCACCCATAATGTTACCTAAACAGGGAAAAAAACAAATATAAATAATTTGAGTTTGAAATTGGGTTTGAAAACAGGATTGAACTTGCATTCTCTGGAATGACAACAAGTAGCAATACTAGACTACAACAGATATACTAAACATTTGACAACATTGAGTTATTTAATATAATTTATATAATATCCACAAAATATTAGAACTTCAAAAAGCTATAATTTGGAAACTATGTTAGTCCACTAAATTTTGACTTTACCATTGTTTTAAATCGGCAATATACATACATTTACTCAAAACAAAAAAAGGTGTACTAGAGTGTGGGTAATTATAGAAGAATAAAATAGATGAGTCATATTATGAAGATGTAGAAAAATTATAGAAATAATTAAAAGTAAGACATTAATATTTAAGAACCAGTTTGGTTTTACGCAGTGAAATTAACAATGGAACCTGTGTTTTCTGTGATACAGATTATAGAAAAGTATAGCGAGAAGAAGAAAAATCTATCTATAGTTTATATAGATTTAGAGAGGGCTTATCACAGAGTACCAAGAGAGTTTATAATGTAGGTGTTTAATAAAATAGGAGTCCCGAGATAGCGAGATTGTATATTAGTTTAATAGAGAATATGTATATATATAGGTTCAAATGCGAATGTAAGAAGTATGTATCTAACCGAAGATTTCGGGGTTACAATAAATGTGCATTGTGGGTCGGCTTTGAGTCCTTGCTTATTTTATATTGTAATGGCTTGTGCATAATGTTTGCATAAAGTTTATATACATATATTTGATATAGTTTTGATTGAAAAAAATGTGTAAGAAGTTAATAAGTATGAGGAATGGAGAGTAGCACTTGAAAGAAAGGATGACTACTTGATTTATAATAACTTTAAACAAATGTATACCTTTTTATTGATTTATTAGGCTCTGAGGATCTTGAACTTCTATTGTCATCTGGATCTGATGAAACACTTTCATCAGAATCTGGCGCATTATTTGTATGTCGTTTGATTTTGCGTTTCTCACGAACAGGTTCAAGTAAAATTTTTGCAATTTTGGTTTTTTCTATAATCTCTTGACGTTTTAGTAACATTTGTTCTTTTTGTTTTTCTAGTTGTTTCAATGTTTTATTATGTTCTTCTGCATGTTTAACTCGAGTTGCTTCTCGTTCTATTTCTTGTTTAAGGCGTGTTTCACGCTCCTCATTATCCATCTTACGTGCCCGCGCTACATGATATTGCGCTTGAGATAATAAGTCTTGACACCGTGTTGCTTCCAATCCAGCTGTAGTAACATCATATCTCATACGGTCACCAGTATTAGAAAGATGTAGAAAATATCTATAAATAGTGAGCAATTTAGTAATTTAGTAGATAAGCGTTTTACAAATATTTAGACGTGAGTACCTATGTGATAATTCTAGGTTATTTACAGCTTGAAGCACATCATTCAAGTTAGATTTTTCATCTTTCAAAATTTTAGATGCTAATAGTTTTAATACAAATGCTATATTGTATAAGATAACAGGGTTCTGAGGAGCAACTCTTTGAGCCTAATATAATAAAATTAATAACATTATAATATACAATTAAAAATTGTATTCTAATATTCAATATATACAATGCTAATTATCTTTGTTACTTTTAAATATGTAAACTTTGCTTCTGTAAATTTCCCTGCTTTAATATAAGCTCGTCCGAGGTATTGAAGAACTTCAATATTATCATGTTTAAAAAACTTCTTCATACAGTTTTCATACTAAACCACAATACATAATTTTATTAAGTTTAGACATATGAGTAATGTATAATGTGTATGAATAAAAATCGTCCATTTTAAACCAACATACCATTTGAATAGCATTAATATATTGTTTTTGTTCAGTATATATATGTGCAATATTCAACCAAACGTCACAAAAATCATCAGTAGATTCTCTTACTTGAGCAAATATATCTTTTGCTTCAGCTATATAATTTTTATGAGCTACAACACAACCTTAAGAAATAAAAAAAAATATGCCTTAAGAAAATGGATTAGTGGAAGGACTTCTTTTAAATATTTACACTTGTGTTAAAATCGTTAAGAAAATGTTAGGATATATGGTCTTAATTAAATAGTATACCAAATGGTTCAACATTTAATGTAAAATGGGTGATAACTGTATGGTGATTTAGGTATGTTAAAATGATTTCGAAGGAAAATTGATAGATATAAACAAGACAAGTTATTACATTTTTGATCAAGTGACATTATCACTCAATATAATTTTTAATATAGTTATCAACCCAAAATACCTTAGCCAGCAGAAAAGTTCGGGGAGAGTAGATTTATAATATTAACTAAAAAGAAGTTAATTTTAATTTATTTAAAAACGTATTAAATGTAAATCACATATAGATATGGTTATGTTATAGGTAGAGCCCGGATTTTTAGGTTTTTGCATTTTTTTTTCCTTTTTTGAATGTTTGTTAATAATCTTGACAAATCATACCAATTGGAATTTATTGTTCATTTTTGATTTTGCACATTATCTGTATATTTGATCGTAAATACATTTTTGGCTATAAATGCCCATCGTTGCATATTTTTATGAATGCTCTGTCATGAAAAATTTACGATAAATGTACATTAGAAATGGTCGAGGTAATCCCATCGTATTAATAGAAATAGCTCACCTGCTGTAATTTAATCTTTATATCGTCGTTATCGATGTAGTACATTTAATTTTATAATATAACCTACAGGCTATGAAATGAACATTTAGTAAACTGTTCTCGAATTACAACCGTGTTGGCAATTGACATCGACATTGTTTAATGTTAATATCGTACCAATAAAAATATACTAATTTAAAAAATGTAAAAAGTGCAAAATGCAGTTTTGTAGTAAAGTTTGTAGTTCTTTTATTTCTAAAATACGTGAGTGGATTTCCTGTGTAAACCAATACGCAAAAGTTTTTATGTCAGATGGAAAAATAATATTTTGTAACGCATGTGGAAAACATATAGTTTATGAAAGAAAATCACAGTTGGATCAACATATGAAAACAGGTAATTCCTTAATTTAAACAAATAATTTAATTACATGCAGGCGTAATATAAACATAGTTATTAGACATTTTTTTCTTGTATTATAGTTGTGCATGTGTCTGTAATCAAACGAATATTTCAAAAACAACAATTAATTTTGACTAGCTCCCCACCTAGTTCCAGCTTTTTCGAAGATTTATGTTTCACTATGGTTTTATCCAATCTACCTTTATATAAATTACAAAGCAAACCATTTCGAAATTTCTTGTAAAAATATACCAACCAATCTATACCAGACGAAAGTTCATGGCGGAAAAATTTTTTATCAAAAAAAAAAATGGCAAAATAAAAGAAAAAAAAGGAAACAATTTTATTTACGTTGTAGTTGATGAAACCACTGATGCGAGGGGTTTATGAATCGCTAATTTACTTCTAGGTGTCCTAAAAAAGGATTATGCAGGGCTACCTTGTCTTTTGGCATCCAAACAATTAAATATAACGAACAGTGAAACTATTAGTCAATTCATAAATGACTCATTCAAATTATTATGGATCTATGTAGGCATGGAAAGACGTGTATTACTTTTATTGACAGACGCTGCTTTATACATGTTAAAATCGGGAAAAATCTTTGAAGTTGTTTGATTCTAATATGGTACATGTAACTTGTATTGCATATGCTTGTAATCTTATAACTGAACAAATTCGCGAATTATTTTCAAATATTAACATTTTAATTAATAATGGTAAAAAAAATATTTTTAAAATCACCGAGCAGAATTTTAATTTTCAGAGATGAAATGGAAAATATACCTTTAACTCCCATCTCGGTAATAACAAGGAGGGGGATATGGATAGTCGCTACTTTATATGATGGGGAATATTTTATAAAATATCAAAAGATAATTGGAAAGCTCACAGAAGATGATGCACAATGTGTTAAAAAAGTACTTGATATTATTAAAGATAAATCGGTTGTGAATGAACTAATATATCTACTAATGAATGAATGAATGAACTAACTATATCAACTCATTTGTCATATTTAGTTGAAATAATTAAAAAACTAGGAACTTAAAATATGATTTTATTTGAAAGTTTTTATTTAATAAGTGAATTAGAAGAAAATATAAACATTATTCCTGGACCTAAATGGACAACATTAAAACAAAATTAAATGATATTTTCTCCAAAAACAAAGGCCTAAAAATATTACATAAAATTAACAAAGTATTATTAGGGGAAGCGGAAGCGGTTCAACTAGATGAAAGCTATCGAGACCTAATGATTTTAAGCTCTTTTAAATTTGCCCCAATAACTTCAGTAGATGTTAAACAATCATTTTCGATAAAAAAGCATTTATTAACAGATAGACGGCACAGTTTTACTGAACGAGAACTTGAATATCATTTAATAATTAATTTTAACAATGTAGAATAAAAAGGCATTTGAGTTATATATTTTATTTTATTTTTAAAAAGAAATATTTATGTATTTATTTAGACATTAATATTTTTTCATACTTAATATAATTTTTAATTATACATTTTTTTAATGCATATTTTATTGATTTTAACTGCATATTATATGACATATTTTGATATTTTTTATTGTATATAAATCCGGGCTCTAGTTGTAGGGTTATTAATTCTATGACAAATATATAGGTAAAAACCAACAATGTTTAAAAAAAAACTCTAAGTTAAATTAAATTATTCAATTTTGTGTGACGTGACATATAATGATGAGTTATAAATAATTCTTTACTCATTTACTAACCAATTCCATTAGCAGCCCAAATATTCTTAGGGTCACTTTTTAAGACTTTAGAATAAAATTGTAAGGCCAATTCCAGGTTTTTCATTTTTTTGTCTCTATCTGAAGTCGGTTGATATAATGTTTGCATCCAAATGTTTCCCATAGAAATTAATGCATATGGATCATTAATAGTCGATGGATTCTTGATAAAAACAAAGTAAAATAATTACCATTTACTAAGCGGCATGCACCATAATACAAGCTATACTATACATACTCTTAAAATGCGTTCAAACTTTTTTTGACTAGGACCCCATTCCATTTTTGAAAAATGTAAATTACCAAGTAATGTCCAGGCATTAGGATGTTCATTATCGATACGCAGCGCTTCTTTAAACCAATCAGAAGCTTCATAAATCTGGTTTCGATCTCTAGCCATACAACCTAAACGTAAATAACCTGCAATATACAATATAACATTCTAACAGTTCAGTAGCATTAAATTTAATCAAATATGTAGTAAGTATACAATCAATGTAATTAGGATGCTCCTTGAGAATATCTTTGTACAATGTTTTGGCTTTCTGAAACTGGCATTGTGCTTCTAATAATCTAGCCAAATTATATGTAATTGTTATTGATATACAGCTTTCATGCTCTGTTGGGTTGGCTAAAATCATTTCTTTTGAAGCAGTCAAAGATTCTTCAAGTTTAGTTCGAGATTCATCCAAATTTCCGAGTCTTTAATTATAAAATAATTATATAATGTGTGCAATAGTATTAATCCACAATCCTACCTAAAATTTAATGCAGCAACATTATTAAGTAGTACAGGCGGAATTATACATTGTCCACTTTTATGTATTAAATCTAGAGCTTTATCATATGCAGATAATGATCCGCATAAATCTGATTGTTCCAATATCTGAGCAAGTTCAATCCAAGCCTCTATATCTTCAGGGAAACGTTCAGTTATCTAAAATATTAACATTAAGTAAACGTATGTAACTTTCAAAGTGGAAAAATTAAATACTTTCATTAAATGACTTTTTGCAATTTCTCGTTTTTGTTGATTATTAGAAGATGCATACAATGAGCTAAGGATTTTCATACTTTCATAATTATTAGGTTGAGCTCTAAGAACTTTTTCAAAACATTGAACAGCCTAAATTAATTCCGAAAAAAAAACCAATTAGTATATTAAAATTATAACATTATATTTTGATTAAAAAAAAACGTTTTAAGTAATACATTTTCCATGTCTCCTCCATGAATATACATTTGACCAAGACCATAATGTGGAAGTACAAATGTTGTTGATGCAAACTGAGTAGCTTGATAATAATATTGAAATGCTTTTTGATTATCAGCCTTAGTGAAAATAGTTGGTATTATTATGTTAATTAGTTTAAGAAAGGTTATAATATTTATAAGTATAAAATTGTATTACCTGCACATGAAATACTCTAGCCATATGATAGCAACTTTCAGCTCTCATAGCTTCATTTTCGGTGTTAAGTAATGCACGCTCAGCAAGTAGCTTAGTCTTGGCGTATTCTTTTTTAAAAAAAAAATGATTGGCCAAATGATTTAACACCATTGGATTATTTGGGTCTATATTATATGCTTTTGATAACATAGTTGTTCCTAGTTTAATGTTACCAGGATTTTCTCCATTCAACTTTATAATAGCTAGACCTACTAATGCACCGACACATTTAGAGTCCAATTTTAAAGCACGTTCGAATGCTAAACGCGCTTTTTCTTCATTTCCAAGCTTTAAAAAACAATGTGCCATACCCAGTCGAACATCAGCAGGGCACTGAGGATTAATGCGCAATGCCTTTTTATAATATGTTAGAGCTTCTTTGTATTCCTTCCTGTTGTAAGCAATATTCGCTTTGCCTAATTGAGCAGGCACATTATTTACCGATTGGTTTAAGACAAAATTAAATTGAGCGTCAGCCTGCTCAATTTTATTACCTTCTGCTAAGCAAAAGAATGCCCGGCATAATACATGATTCTATCAAATTTATAAAATATTTACAAATATTGAATATATTTATGTATAAGTACAATTGAATACTCACTGTATCGTACATCATAATTTTATCCGCTGTTGAATATAAATGTGTTGCTTTAATATGCAATTCACGACGTTTACCTTTATCTTTTTCCTGAGTAGCTGTTTGCACATAATATGTTCCCAACATATCTAAAGCCCTCATTTGATCTTTGTCACTATCTTTATATTCTAAACTTGCGTTACTGCGTGACATTTCCAACAACCTAATCAAAGCATTTGGATTGCCGTTTTTGTAATATGCCAACTAAATATTGAAGACAGAAATCATTATTTTACATTCATGTTTATGCTAAATATATTTTATAAATAATACAAACAGCTAAATCAACCCATAGGTTTAAATTTGATTTTTCTGATTTTAAAATGCAAAGAACTTCCTCATATTCTGGCATCTTATGTAACAGAATTTCGATAATCTGAAATTAGATCAATTAGGTTTTTATTAAAATGACGTTAATTATTATATTAATATAATATATAATATAAATAAAATGTTACAAAAAAACTATTAAACGTCAAATTAATTAAATATTAAGTTAAAATTGCCGCTTTTTTCAACCAACAGATTGTTGTCCTACCAATAAAACATCAGTAGTATGAGTAATCAAATATATTAAAATATCTCATCTAAAAATTTGTTTAGTTTACCTATTTCAGTTTAAAAAGAATACCGGTATAAAATAGAGAAATATGTTTGTGATACAAATTCAAAAATATGTTATTCTGATCTAATTTGTTGACTTTTCAACTAAATATTTTTTATCTATATAAACCCATACTTTTCTATATTTCCTACCATGATAGTTCCCTTATTTTGAATCAGTTGTAGAATATTATACCATGATGAAATTAAAGATTGTGATTAGTTCCAATTTTTCTTCTGTTTTTTGTTTCTTGCATTTTTTTTTTATCAAAATATATTATACAGGGTGTATCAGAAGAGTCTGGCCAACTTTACAGATTGTGACTCTCTATGTGGCTATAAGAATTGGTTTTTTGGAATTTTTGTTTTCTTATCAAAACTTTGGTTTTACCCGCTTAATTTGTAAAATACCCATACAAAATAAAAATAAACCATTCCAGAGAATTTATCGCAAAATTCTATTACGAAAAGAGGGGTCACTCGATTTTTTCCAAAAATAATCATTATCACTGCTATTTTTGGTTTATCATGTCCAAAATCGTAATTTTTGTGTGACACATGAATTTGTATGTAAATTTGTCAGGGATTTCAATGGAACAGATTATTTTTTATTTAAGCGTCAATTTAGCGATTTTGGACATGATAAGCCAAAAATAGCGGTGATAATGAATATTTTTGGAAAAAATCGAGTGACCCCTTATTTCGTAATAGAATTTTGCGATAAATTCTCTGGAATGGTTTATTTTTATTTTATATGGGTATTTTAGAAATAAAACGGGTAAAAACAAAGTTTTGATAAGAAAACAAAAATTCCAAAAAACCAATTCTTATAGCCACATATAGAGTCACAATCCATAGAGTTGGCCAGTCTTTTCTGATACACCCTGTATACAACTGTAATAGGCTTTATAGGCTTATATTGGGATGGTGAGGCATAGCCTAAAATTATTTAAACATTTAATAATAACATATATATGGTAATATATACTTATTTATTTCAACAAAATTAATTTTATAAAATAGAATTATATTACCTAACTATCACATATTTAAGTCTTTAGAATAATATATTATACTTTATAGTCATTAAAATACCCAATTATACAAAATATACAAATAAATAATTACTATTCTATAACAGTATTACACAAAGTGATTTTTTTTTTTATCTCATAAACCAGAAATTATCTATGAGTATTTTAAATGACTTTGATTTTTTTTCTTTTAACCATTGGGGGATCGAATCGATTAAGCTTTATTTTAAAACCATTTTAACTTTTTACCTCTACTTTATGTATCGTAAATAAATATAAATTTTTATTTTCAAATAGGAACCCCTTTTTTCGAACACAGATTTGAATAAAGAATATTTGTCTACAAATGTTGATATGCATAGCACTAATATCAGATTTACTGTTTATAAGTTATGATCCTTTAAAGTTTAGATAGAAATAAAAATAAATTCAATCTCTATTTTTTAAATGATAAATTGATAACCCTTTCCTACTTCTATGGCTTTAAACGATTATAAAAATAAACGGTAAATCTGATATTAGTGTTGTGCAATATACAAATAAAAAAATATTCTCTCCTCGAATTGTGTTCACAAAGGGGGTTTATATTTGAAAACCGAAATGATATACTTATTTAAATGAAGTAGGAGAAAAAAGTTAAAACGATTTTAAAATAAAGTTTAACCCATTCCAAAATGATTAAAAAACAAAAAAAAAAAACAGAAATCAAATTCACTTAAAATCCTCCAAACAAATTGCTAGTGCTCATGACAAAAAAAGATGGACACCCTTCATACATGAGTATAGCCGCTGTTGTAGGTGGGGAGTTGGAAGTAGAAGGGAAATTTAATGTATATCTGTATGCAACAATAAACCATTGTTTACGAAAAAACGATTCTGAATGAAGTTCAGTTGATTATGATGCTTTCTCAACAATATATATGTCATATTATGATAAAATAATTAAATATTCATTATGTATTTTCTTTAATAATATTTCTTTAATGTTGTACCGACTTCCTCGGTTTTCTTAAGTTTTTTCCGGTTTTCCTATGTTTTTTCCCGAGTTTTCATATTTGCTGGGATAACTCTTTGGAAAATCGAAAAATGACCTATTTAAGGTACCTCCCCACACCAATTTCCTTTCAGAAACCATAAGCTCATTCGTTCTATTCAGAATCTAAAATCTAAAAATTAGATTTGTACCACATAATTTTTTACCTGAAAGATTTTTGTCAATATTTGATACTAAAATTTCTTTATAAAGAAAACTATATTAAACTCAAATTTTTTTTTTGACCACAAAGTAAGACTTTTAATGAACTTGTTTAAATTTTTACGTATTTCTATTTAGTCTTACAATTCTACTACACAGTACTTATTGAATAAAAATTACATATAAAACTCACAAAATTAAGATGTTTCTTAATAAATTGAAAATGGCTTTTATTAATTAAAAATTTGACCACGTCTAGAAAAGGTAAATATAAGTTTTCTGTTCAAATTGCAAGTCTCTACGATTGTTTTCAACTGAATTACAACAAATAAAATAATTTAATTATTTTCGTAAATTTTCTTTTTTTCTTATTTTTTTTCCAGATATTATATGAACGCTTAGAAAATCAAAAAATGACTTTTAAAAAGTATCATATATTTTTTTATAGATAATATTTCCTTTGAAAAATGGTGTCGCGCGTACATATAGGAGCAAGATTTCTAGGTAGATTTTTTGTACACAGTATAAAAAAAACAAAAAAATGAACATCTTTGTAAAACCAATACATTCTTCGCTACACTTAGAAACTAAAAAAATCACTACGTATAATAAAAAATACAAACATATTTTAATTCTTTACCGTTTTTTTAACTAAACAATAATTAAGAGATAAAAGTAGGTATAATAATTAACTATTTGGTTAATTAACTGCTAACTAGTATGGGATGTAGAGGGAATATATATATTTTGTACCAAAAAATCAAATAATATTTCTTGATATATATGATATTTCACGCACAATTTTCCGTTTTATGCAATAGATAAAACTTTTTGACTACATAAAAATACTCAACATTTTTAATTTATTTTATATAATTTATAGTATGTAACACGTCAAATTAACTTCAATTTAAGTTTGTAAACATATAAACCAAACATCGTTCAGAATTGTAGTGCATAGATATAAACTACATGTTTTGTGAAAAAAATATGTGTACTTATTTCCTGCGATAAACTTATTATTGTTATTAAAATATTTTCTACCTATTATATTCTAGGTACTAACCCAAATGTCCACAACAAAAGTACCACACCCATGGTACTTACCTATAAAATATACCTACAGTTTTTTTTTAACTGATTTAATTCTAATTTAACCAAATTAGGTGTGAATGTTTGAAATTTAAATATATTTTTTGTATAAGTAGTATAAATTTAAAAAACAAAAACAGTTTTTGAGGTTACAACTCAAAAATAAAACAATATATTAAAAAAAATATAAAGATAAAATGTAAACTAGAGTGTTATAAACGTTGTGTGTAACTACGGCTGGTTTCATTTTAATATTATATTATGAAGTTGTAGTAAAATAGTATTATAAAGGCGAATAAATAAAATATCCTGAAGCCATATAAGTGACCAGATGAAAATGCTAATGGGAGCTACGATTTGTTTATAGGTAAATCGCATATTTGATAATGAGTAATGAATAGCAATTGCTATGGCAATTGGGGTAATTCCTTTGTTCTGTCTAATCTATATTGTAGTAGATGCTTATAATGTATAATGCTATATAATATATTTACATTTTTTTTCCTATGAAGAAGAGATGATTCTAATTTTCTCTTCGAATTGAAAAATAGGCATCTAAACTAACATCATTATTAAATGTCGATTTATCTAACATAGCCCCAAAAAATACACGGTATAATATGTATCTAATATTTATTGAATATAATTATATACTAATTTTTGTAAATTATAGTATAATTATTATACATACTTCATCAGTGTCTTTCAGTGGTATTTCAATCGTTGTTATGTTAGCCATATTAATGGAACTGCAATTGTAGTTCAAATGAAAGAATTAAAGTAACAATAGGTACAATAAGTTTTTAGTTTGTGTATCAATTATCCGGTTTCGATTTAACACATAATAAGACAATAAAATAAAATGTCAGCAACCTTGCTAACAAACACAGAACTGCTTAGAAGCTATATGAAAAAATGGCTGACTAATAACTATAACTAATATTACAAATTTCATTGGTTGTGTTTCAAGTAAAACGAAAATCAATATCATATCACATTAATAATGTATACAGTTTTGGTATTTTGTGTTGGCTATCCTGTTAGTATACAAACACCCTCGATAAGGTGGTAAGGTTGAAAATGTCGGGAAAGAATAACAACAACAAAAAAAATTATAATAATAAATTAAACCCAACCCTTGTTCTCCCTAGATGACCTAACCTAACTATGCAATAACAAAAACAAGCGCATTAAGTTTTTAATTTAATAATATAACACCATTATAAAATATGCATGGTGAAACCATTGGCATCATTTGGGGAGGAGCAGGTAAGACATTTTCCCCTACCTCCTTTTAATCAGCGGGTCCCTATTGGCCGGGTATGGGTGAATTTTGGGCCACAAGCCTGTAAACATAATTCATGATTTATGTTGCATACGGCTACAGATTAGACAATAATAAATGACTATAACAAGACTAAAATATTAATAAACCAATGATAATAATAATAATAATTATATTGAAAATAATAATATTAATAGTAATAATGTGGATTATGTAACTATTTAGCACCAAGCTGTCTTGGCGCCCACTTGTCCCATTCAGTAGCGCAAATAGAACATAAATTAGGGGACATTTATTTCAAATTAAATCTTCATATAGAATTTATTAGGTAATATATTTAGGTATCCCTCTTCGTGAATATTTATTATTTAGTCATTTTTGTCTCACGAAAAAATTAATTTTCATGTCTATGATAGTAATTAGTATAAAATGATATAATAAGTCAATAAGGATATTTTTATTGAGATAAAAATGTAATTATGACGGATGAATCAGCGAGAGGTTTTTTTACATTTTTATTATGAGCAGGTCAAATCTTTTGCCCTTTCTCTCAAAAACTGAAATGACGCAACTGGGTACAAATCTATATTATATTTACGGGAGGCATAAGTAATTTATTTCGTTTTGAGACTTGAGTGAAAAGAAAATTTGGGAATCAATGACAGAATATCTAAGATGGCCATACATGTACAATCTGGTCGACCCCCTGGTTTGAGTTTTACAAATTGTATATTTTATTTAATCCCAGCTATAGACATCTATTTTATATTTTGTAGGTACTACTTATATTATTACTTTATATTTGTAATATTTGTTTGTATGAATGTATATTTAATACTCATATTTCAATGAATAATTATAATAATAATATACTCGTATATCTTTTAGTCAAACCAGTATTTAAAATATCTACAACCGAACTATGCATTGGTACCTACGGACGGACACAACGGATCTTCAATATAAGGTGTTTAAGATTAGTTTTAGAAACCTAAATTGAGGAGTTGACCCTTCGAGACAACACCGGAGTTCTCATATAGTTAGCATTCGTATGGAAAATCTATCAGTTGCTCAAAACTATAAAATCGATATATAATATGGATTAAATAATTCTGTGTATTACCATATTTTAATAAAATACGCACACAAAAGTTTGGAAATAGTAAACTTTTACAAAATAAGGTAATCTCCTGAAATAGTGTGAAATCGTGCATCAAATATTGTTTACTATTACACAAGATAATGCAATATCTTACATTAAATAATACAACGAATAGTTAAAAAAAAAATTGTTATATTATTTTGTTTTTTTTTAATACCAGTTCAATTATGATTGTTAAATTAATAATAACAATAATTTTTGTTATTGAAAAATAAATTAACAAATAGGTATACAAGTAGGTAATTTAAATAGGTAATACAATTTTAATTTTTATAAAAACACATAGTTAATAATTATGCATAGTTATTAGTTGTACAAAATTTTAACACAAATTTAGAAGAAACAATATTAATTGATATAGATATTATGATATTCGAAGTTAAAATTGCACATATTTTTTTAATATTTTAAAACAGGTAACAGTAAAACAAGTGTTTTTTTGTGGGGCACACTTTATAATATATACGTATATATATAATAGGAACTTACGTTTTTAATTAAAATCTACCATTAGACTATTTTGAACTTTAATCAATTACCTTAGAAAGTTTTAAGAATTACATTTTAAGTAAATGGATTAGTGATAAAAAATCATAATTTAACTTGGGTGAATTATTTTGACCTTAAGATATATTAGATATATTAGAGATAGTCTTTTATACATTTGGTATGTAAATATAAACAAAATTAAATCTTTAAACAATTTTAATCGTTGATTTATTCAGTACTTAAAATTTATTATACATTAACACTTAATGCACTAGATAAAAATCATGTAGAAATTAAATCGGATTTAAAAAATTGAAAACTATTTTTTCCACATAATATTTTAATCTTAAAGTTTATATTATTCACATATTATTAGTACATTATATTATATGATTACTAAATATTCTAATTAATATTTAAGTTAAATTTTTTTTCTACTTTATCATTATTTAAACAATTTTAATTAATAAATAATAATAATAAAATAACGTATTATGAAGTGAATTTAAATAGTACAAATAATTAAAATATAATATATATTCAAACATATATTTGATATCAAGTATCTAATAGTTGTTAAAATCAACTATTAATTATTGATATTTTTTTGTAAGTAAATGTAAGTATATAAACCCAAAGTTCAATTTTAAATCACTCGTTATAATTATAATAAGTAGTAATAAATTATAATAAACCATTATAGAAATTGTTTGTATAAAATAGAGTGAAAAACCGTTAATTAAAACCATTTAATTATTTTTAGAATAGTATTCTGGAGGTATGGATTGGCTTGGCAGTTGGTACAGATGGGTTCTCATCTGCTTAAAGTTTGTTAAGTTTGTAACTACTGAATTCTAGAGAAATAAAATATCAATTATATTATAATGTAATATTAATTCCTAAAATATATGTATATCAATGAACATTTGTAATAACAATAAATAAGTATGTGAATAAACTACTATTTACTTGTGAGCTGTTTCCACTTATTTCGTTGTTTCCACTTATTTCGTTGTTTAGAGTAGGTTTAACATGTACAGTCAACTTGCGTCTTTTTCTCCCACGTCGGCTGATATTGTTCTATAAAAATAATTAAATATATATTATTACTTAGTTTAAATATATTTTCAAGATATCTTACATTATAAAACTCAGCAATATCTTCAAGAGTAATAGACATTAGGTTGTCTATTTCACTTTGTACTCTGTTGAAATTATAGTTTTCTACAAAAATATCATGTTCATACATATCTGCTTTTTTTCTCATTGTTGTTGGCTTCTTTAATATATTATTGCACAAACTTTTTTTATATTCATCAAATTGCCTATCAGTCATGTTATCTAAAGCCTCCTAAAATGACAAAATTGTAAAATAATATCTAAAATGTAATAATTTATTCAAATGAACTAACCTTAATGCTGTCAATATAATGTTCGATTTTTAAATCACTAGACCTTGAGTCTTGGTAAGTTTGATCAATAATACCCAAATATAGTAATCCTTTTTCTGTTGATGGTACAATTTTTAATAGATTTTGATTTCGCTAGTAATACATAAAGTAATAATTATATATATATATATGTCCTGTATAGTTTTATACTATTTAAAATGATTAAATCTATTTTACCATTTTGTATGCTTGTCTATAAAATACATCATTCATGATTTTGCTAAACAGCAAAAATACCATATTTTTAAATGGAGACTGCGTTCCACATTGAAAATTAACAAAAACACATGATTTTTTGGGATGGTATCCTGTTGTTTCAAACACTACATGTTCATCTAAAACATAAAACTCAAATTGTATTAAAACAAAATTTTGAAAAGACGGAACTAATGCTTGTGAGCAATTGGGAAAATGTATTCATTGAAATTTAAAACAAGTACATCATAAAGTACCTAAAAAAAAATTATACTTAAAATAGTTTAATAGATTCAAACAAATTAAATGTTTTGTAAAAGAGCATAGGGTAATTCTAAAAAGGCTAAGAAAAATGGACAAGAAAACTGAAAAAAAAAAATCAATAGTCTATTCGTTTAATACACATAAACCAATGCAGATTTCTTGAACATAAAAGAAGTCATTTTTAATAGGTTTGGTTATGTATTAATTAGGTTTTTTTTAGATTGTTAATGATGATTATTATTTTTTTTCTGTAGACAACTTTTCTACCAATTTTGATTTACAATGATATTATTTTTTTCTGAAAGGAAATCTGACTGCGATGGTATTTTAGAGAGGTCATTTTTCGATTTTCCCAGAATTTTTACCAATAACTGGAAAAACGGAGAAAAAAATGGGCAAACAGGGGCGGGGTATAGGAAAAATGGGAAAATAGGTACAATATTAAACAAATATTATTTAAGAAAATATATAATATGACATATATTGTTGAAAAAGCAACACTATTAACCGAACTCCTTTTTTCTTAGCAATAGTTAATCATTGCATACAGATATACATTAAATTTTCCCTCTACTTTCTCAACTTCTCCCCTATAATTGTGGCCTATCTATGTGCGAAGTATGTCTGTCTTTTTTAGGTTGTAGTTGAGGGGTATTCTTAGTTAACTAGTATTAGGGTATCACAGTAAGAAGAAATCAACATAATGTTGTTATTATATTAATTATTTTTATTTTATTAAATATTTCTAGACATCAGTACTATAAAACTACTTTAGGGTTATTAAATGTATTCTATAGTTTATATTTTAGACAATGAAGTTATAGCAAACTATATACAATAACTGTAATAAACTTTTTTTTTAATCATAAATATCATATTGGGGCATAGCTATTTAACCCTGTTTTAAAATTAAAAATATAAGTATCGATTTTACTAACCAGTTCTAAGTACTACATCCCTGGGTTTATCTATTTGAGATGACCCTTGTTCATTTCTTTGACCATGAACTGAAAATGGTTTTTTCAATATTTGACTAATTCTTAATGCCTTCTAAAGTAAAACCAAATAATATAACATTTATACCTTTAACTAATTATTATAGTATATAATTCTTACTTCTTCATTAATGTTACCAAAAACTAACAATTCCATAAAAATTCCATGAGCTAGGAATTTGTTCATAAATTCTTCAATTTGTTCCACTTTTAAAACTAAATATTTAATTTATAGAAATAAATTAAAAAATAATTCAATTTCAAAAATATGTATGAATATTTACCCTTAATGGAACTTAAAAATGCTGTTGAGTTTTGGGCTGCTTCTGATAAGATTTCAAGACTGTGCTTTACCACTTTTTGACAATGTGGTTCCAATTTATTATTTTCCTCAAATTCCTATAGTTATATGAATTTTATAATTAACTAAAATAAATTTTAAAATGGTTATAAGTATTACTTCTTTAAGAAATTCAAACAGTAAATGATCAATCTTGAAATTGAAAAGTTTATCAATTATTTCTTGTAGTAAAACATCTATCTTGCCACTATACCCAAACAATTTGATCTGAAAATCAATAAATTTATTTCATGAAATGTATTAAACAATTATTTTATCTATAATTTAATATTACCATAAAACCAGTATCTTTTGGTATAATGAGTACTTCAATACCAGCTCTTGCTGCACAGCATTTAGTTTCAGCTATATTATTATTCATTACACTCACAACAAACGGCATGATATTAGCATGGAATGGATCATTCAATACAATTGGGCTGCATAAAAAAAAAATTTATATTAGAATAATCTAATATAGGTTAGATATAAATATTCAATATAAATAGGGATATAAGGCGAAGCAGTTTTGATTTTAAAATAAATTTTTGCAGTTATTATATAAATTGTAGTTGTTATTTTAAACTGACATTAGTACAAGGATAAAATATAACAACATGTAAACAACATAACAAAAATATAAAGGCTTTATAAAAAAAAAAAAAAACAATTTCAATGGTACCTATAGTCTACAATATACATCATAATATATAATTATAAAAAGAATAATTATATTGAAAAATTGTTAAAAACAATTATAATAGAAAATATATTAATATATTTTATTATATTAATATATATCAATATATTAATACATATTATGTATGCATAGACTATAGAATATTATTATAATTATTGTACTTATTTGTATTTGAGGTTCATTACCTGGAAAATTCTATTACAATACTTGCTTTAGGACATTTGAATTCTGTATCTGGTTTAAACCAACATCTTATAAGATTAGATTCATCAATGATATAGGGATGATCTGATTTCTATAGGGGAGAGAAAAAATATATTAATATTTTAAAATACATTTTAATTATGCTTTTACCATGGAATTATCTGGAACTAAATCAAAATCTCTAGTAAGAAAATTATTCTTAGATGGCAATTTGAAATGTTCATATAAACCAATATTTTCCCACTTCTAAAAATTCAAAATTATAAAAATAAATATCTAAATATTTTTATATAAATCTCTATGTGTAGCATTAAAAAAAAAAACTTAAAAATGTAATACATTTAAAATATCCCGTGGTATTTTAGTAACTGAATATCTTGTTCCATAATATTTTTCTATAGTATCAGCTTCATTTTGAACTCTTCTGGAAATAACCATAATCCTGCAATAGTAATATTACAATATTTTATAACTTTATCATAATACATTTAAAACAAATGTATTTCAAATAATCACACCTATTATTATTTTTTTTTTTATTACTATAATACAATAATATGAATATGAATGATTTAATAATATTTAATTATACATAACATTATATTTTGCTTTGTGGAAGATTAATTAATCAGCCCTGTTCTCAATGTTAAATCTTATACAAAATTTACAAAAATCATAATAATAAATACCTACATGTACTAGGAAAGTTGCAAGGATAACAAAACCGTGGATATCAAAATGATATCCAACATTTACTAAGTGTTTTTGTACATTTTCATGATTTCTCTCATTTATTTGGAAAACTCCTGGGAAAGTCAAAAAATTACCTCCTCAAGTTACCGTGGAGATAAAATTTTCTTTTAGAAAATAATCTACACTTGATACATCGGAGCAAGATTTTTGGTAGAAAAGTTTGCACACCAAATCGAGGGATATTTTGCAATTAAAATAGCCCGAGAGAGAGAAATGACTAAGGTCTTGACTATAGGTCAATAAATAAAGGTACACCTAAAATTTGTTTTTTCCTTGTTTAGGTAAAAGGGTTTTTCCATTTTTTGCATTTTTTCATGCAAACAATTTTTTTTTTGAAACATGGATTCGAATACACGAACCCTAGGATGAAAACAAATAGGTATGTATACTATTAACCATTGAACTACGACAAACATACTTTAGAGTATATATCACTGAAGCCACTGAATACACAATAGCCAACCTTCCTTTCAAAAATAATAAGTCTCCTGGTGGAATAAAAATTGTGAATCAGTGGTAAAAAACTACAAAAAAAAAGTACTAAATCACTTCAGAAAAACCAAACTACAATCAGATCATATAGAACTTGAAGAACGCAGAGCAATCTCATGACAAACAATTAAAATTATTAAAATCTAATCATGGAATAGTTTCATATCCAACATTAACTATAAAACAACCTCCAGCATTATGTGGTTCAAGATCAACAGCATAAAAGGACATAACCGAGTTCTCCATAACTCCTTGATACAATTTAAATTAGACTACAGATCTATCATTTACAGCCTCGCTAACCAAAATATTCTAAAAACACTCAACACTGTACAAAACTTTGGAATAAAAAAAAAAATATAGTTATAAAATGTATGAGTTATTAATTTATGAGTATTTCCAAGTTAACCACAGGTAAACAAAATAATGAGGAATTACTGTATTATTGTTCCATTTGTTTCTTTTGACATGTATAACTAAAATCAATAAAGAAATAAGAACATTTTGCTCAGAATACTTTGTGTTAAAATCAATATTTGAAACTTCTTATAAAAATTGAAAATAAATACGTATTATTTATTATTTGACATTTCTACAACTATTCTTATGTGTACCTTATATTATCTGGTCTGAAATAGGACAACATATTTCGTATTAGATCTGGTTTCCATTCATCAAGTAGATTTCCAGCTGTTAAAACCTCTTCCACATTGTAATACTAAAAAATATAGAAAATAATAAAAAGAAATTATTTTTATTAATTTAAAAATATATAACCTACCCTCAACTGGGAACATAACCAGTACATATATTGAGCTGAAAACTCTCTCTCTTGGAATCGGAATTGCATTCCTTCACTTAAGTTAATTTCACCGTGAAGCCATTCTTGAGGCCCTTCATGTTTTAACATATTCACATACTAAACCATAAAAAAATAAATTTATAAAATGTATAAAATAAAATTTGAATTGATACTGAAATTTAAAAATAATACTGTACTTGAAATAGAAACTCAATAATTTCATCAATATGATCATGTCCATTTTTTGTCAAATTGAACATAATATTAAACATCTCAATGTCCTTAGCTTTACTTCTACTTTTGGCTGACATTTTAATAATCCATCCTTTATTTTTTAAAATAGTAATAAGACTCCCAGGTCCTTCATCAGTAAATAAAGTTGACAAATACTTAGTAGGCTATTAAATATATAAAATATATATTATTTAATAAAATTTAAAATTGTTTGTTTCATTTATAGTATCATTACCATGCTTTTATAATATTGTTTCTGATCTGGAATTGGAAAATCAACAGATAACAATTTTAAGTTGATAATTGGAACAATAACAGTCTTAATTGATAAATGTTCTTCTTTATAAATAGGGTTACTCCAAATTGGCATGTTTACATTTTTTTTTTCAATTTGTCCAAATACAGATGTAACCCAATCAGTCAATATTTCTAAGTCCTCTAAAAAAAAAATTTAAATATGAAATAATTAATAATTAATAATAAAAACATTAATATGTTAAGTTTATTATGTTAGTATATTTACCTATTCCAACTACAACCAAGTTCATTAAATGTGAAGAATACCAGGTGGAAAAAAACTCTTTCAATTTATCATGAAGATTTGGATTAGAGGCAAGTGTATCTTTTGAACCTAAACACAAAAATGTATAAATAAACATATAAATATCATCATTTATAACTGCTAAAGAGAAAAAAAAAATTATCAAATTACAATTAAATGATTAAATTTTGAAATACCTGTTTCAAAACGACTAAAGAGATGATCTTCGGCAATGGTACATTTCATTACCTGTTCTACTCGACTTTCGTCACTAGTAAAATTTTTTATATATTTGGCATGAACAGTGTTAACGCCTCTCGGAAGATCAATAGTTTCATCAAAAGATGGTTCAAAGAACATTCGAGCAAATCTGTAACATAAATTTCAGAATGTAAATATTTATTTTAATACAAATTACCTATTTAAAAAAAAAAAAAAAATTATTTATCCTTACCTATCTAGTAATGATTGAAGATTGCCATTTTGAATACGACAATAAAACTGTGTTTGATCAAAAGATGTTTGGGATGTGAAATATCCAGAGTTGTTGATAAGATGATTTTTGAAATCATCTTTTTTTGAGTATGATTTCGTTCGACAAAATAACATATGTTCACATAAATGGGCCAACCCTGGTAAATCAATTGGATCACAAGCACTACCTAATTTTATGAACAAATACACAAATTGTAATTAAAATAAATAAATGTATACGAAATAAAATATAACATGTTAATTTCTAATAAAATATATTATTGTCAATAATTTAAATTATTGCAAATTAAAATGATAGATTATTTTTAACATACCGACTGAAACTATAAGAGATGCAGATGAAACCTCAACATTAGGATTACTGATTAATAAAACAGTAAGACCATTTTTCAATATCAAGCCTTGATACTGCGAAGTATCATCTAAATGAGTTGCAACATGATTAATATATCTTCCAATCTTTTGAGACATGATTAGAGATTTTAACGAACTGAAAAAAAAAAACATAATCATTTGTCTAAAATTATTTGGAACCAATAGAACAGGTAAAAATCGTATATTACGCTTTTTAAAAATATGTGTAACCGAACTTCGCTCCAAATCATTTTTGTTATCAATGGTTTATCGTTTGTTAACGTTATAAATTAAATATTTTTATGTATCCCGCCTTTCTCACAATCCACCTAAAACAGTGGTTGCATCCGTCCCCACTATCAAATTTTTGTTTGTGTGTGTGTGTGTGTGTGTGTGTGTCTATGAGAGATTTTTCCAAAAACTTACTGTAGTCGAAACATTACAACTGTAAGCAACGATAAAACATTGATAACGAAAAACCGATTCTGAGTGGAGTTCAGTTTATAGTGATGCTTTGTCAACAATATACATATATATATATATATCATATATATATACATATATGTCGTATTATAGTAAAATAATTAAAAAGGGTCTCTATATTTTCTTTAATAGAATTTGTTTAATGTTGTATCCATTTTCTCAGTTTTCCTAGGTTTTTCCCTGTTTTTTATATTTGCCTGGAAAACTCTTGGAAAAATCGAAAAATCACCTATCTAAAGTACCTACCCCCCTAGTCGGATTTCCTTTGAGAAACATTGCTCGCATTATCAATTGGAGCAAAATTGCTGGTAAAAAGATGTTATCGGGAAAAAAGAAGGCCATAATATATTTTAACAGCATATTCGACAGTATATTCGACAGTTTATTCGGTATACTGGTAATTGCTGAATTACCGATTGAATGCGGTATATACCGTAGTACCGTGACACCATATAATATCATAATATCGTATAATACCACGATATACCGTAGCATGCAACCGATATTGAAATGGATACCGCAATACCAATATCCATTTTAAATATCGTCAACCCTATTGTGTAATATTTCTAAAATATCGTAGGTATATACGATGAAATATCATAATACCCATTTACTCGGTTTTTTTTTTTAATTTATCGGAGAATAAAAATTAAATCTGTATAGTGAGAGAGGACTCACACACCGTTCACCTAAAAAATTATTTATTCCCTCCCCCAGAACAACTACGCCATACATCCACACACAAACACACTCTCCCACTACACACACACCATTATACACCTATAAAACAAGCGTAGTTTTCTCGGTCTACTGCAGAGAAAATCAAAAATTAAGAAATATACCGTGTCCTTTTCGTCTTCCTCTCTCACGCACTCTCTCACTCTCTCTCACTCTCTCTCTACGTACACGATAGGCTGATGTTAATGAATTCAATAAAAAAAAAAAAAAAGAAGATAAATCAGCATATAATCTTTTCATAATTATTTCTGCTATAGTTTATTTTTAAGAGCTTTCCATAATATCATATTTTACACGTAATAAGCAGGCCCTATATGTATATAATATGTACAGTGGACGCTACAAATTAAAAAATTTAACTGTTTACTAAAGTAAAAATCATGTAAAATTTAACAAATGTAAAAATCAAGGGAAATTGCAATAAATTTCAAAATGTTTACCTATGCCAATGCAGTTTCCAAAAAAGGTTTCACTTTTAGGAAGCGAGATTACGGATCTTGTGATACAAATATTTCGAATTTTTACTGTCTTTTTAGATTTTTATTAGAGCGAAGAAGCTTATGGTTTTACAAAGATGTATATTCTTTTATTTTTTTTTTATCTCTGCGGAACTTTTCTAACAGAAGATTTGCTCCGATTTTTAAGTGTAGCACTTTTTCTGAAAGTAAATCAGTGTGGCGAAGTACCTTAATTTTCGATTTTCACAGGCGTTTTCTTATCAAATGTCAAAAATCGGGATAAAACATGGGAAAACCGAGAAAAACATAGGAAAACTAGGAAAATCGGTACACCGTTAAATAAATATTATTAAAGAAAATATAGAAAGCCTATTTAATTATTTTACTCTAATATAACATATACATATAAGCAAAGATTTATCGTTGCTTACAGGTATACATTAAATTACTTTTAACAGAAGCTGCACCCATTCTCATTATCCTAGGATGTCTTTTTTAAAATTTAATTTCTGTCTGTGTATATTTTTACCTTCTATTATAATCTGTATACATACATACAAAGTCTTAATAATAATAATATTCTATATTTAAAATATTATGATAACGATATTTTAAATAGGTTGGTAGGTACCTCAAAAAAAAAACAAATATATTTAAGAAGTATTTTTCAAAATCATTTTAAAAGATGCTGAATACTCATATTCGAATTTTATATAAAATGTGTTAAAAGTGATTCGTTTTATTATCAAATGGCCGAAAACAATTTAAAAATGATAGAAATTAAGGTTAGGCTAACTATAAACGATTCCTATACTCGAATAATTAATAACCAGAATGTATTGTACTGAATATTATTTAATTGTACTTAATAATTCGTAAGCGTAATAATAGTTTACGATTTAAATAGTATCATTAACATGTAACAATTTCGATTGGTTCAAAATAAATTTAAATTATAATATACTATGTATACATAGTTGTTTAAGTCACCGTGTCAAGGTGCTCCGACACTCGCTGTTTATTGTTCTAAAAATTTAACGGTAAAACTCGCGTTACGTTATTTTATTGTTTTAATTTGAACAATTACTAATAAAAACGTTTTAACAGCACGTAGTAAATAAATTCAAATAATACTTCGACCTATGTACCTATATATGTATTTACAAAAATACCTTCTTAGAGAAAAAAAACAAATTTCCCTATATAAAAATAATTATAATATTCGTAATAAAACCTACAACTAATACTCACCGCTGCAGCTGCCGGTATATAGACGCGTAGACATGGAGGAAAACGCCAAGAAGTGCCTCAACAAAAGAAAAAAAAAATGTACTGAACAAAAGGGTCTCCGCAAATAGTGAATATTTGCGAGAGACGGTTTTGACAGTACTGAACGACGGACGCGCTGTACACGCTATATAAAGGCGGCGACGGCAACAATGGCGGCGGAGTAGGAGAACGGCAGAGGAGGAGAACGGCGGCGGCGCGTCAACTGCGTCGGTATGCGGCAATGATGCACGTTGATGCGTGTACAGCCGCCGCCACCGCCGCTGCCGCCGCCACCGCCGCTGCCGCCGCCACCGCCGTTGCCGCCGCCATCGCCGCTGCAGCCGCCACCGCCGTTGCCGCCGCCACCGCCGCCGCCGCCGTCGTATCGCAGTCGGCACCCCGTCGAATCATCCCCCCAGTACGACCGTACATTCCCCGCCATCCCTGCCCTGTGCCAATACACACAATTCGGCCCCTCCTCCACCCTCGATAACGTCGGAGACTGCAGTCGAAACTCGTATTTTGTGACTCTCCCATCGAAGCACGTCGCAGACGGCGACGGCGTTGTTCGTATTATTTCTTTGTTCGATTAAAAGCATATGTCCCGTACAGGGTATCCCGCGGAGATGTATCTATCATATTGTCGTATCTTGGAAAATATTTTCTTTTTTCGGGTTGTTTTTTTTTTTTTTTTATCAATTTAAGAAACAAGCGGTTATACAATTGCATACTCACGTTATTTTCTGTCATGCTTATTTTCGAGGAAGGGGGAACACCCACCTACTTTTAGTTTCCAAACAAAAACCTATAATTGCATAAATATACGGAGTTTTACAGTGAACATTTTCAATTTCTGCCAATTCTGCCAAATTCTAACAAGATACTAGACTTTTAAGTTTAGAGGACTTATGCGAGTGATGCGGTGTACTCACGCCGTGTCGTCAAATTATGCTCCACTATTCTCTCTCTAAAATAAAGGCGACCAAAAATAACGGTAATGTAACACATTAGAGCATTTTAGAGCTACCTGTTGCTTAAATTGTACAAAAAAAAAATTCCGAAAAATGAGATCGCAATGGGTAATATCTTCGTGTGATACTTTGTATAGCATCGTAGCCCAACCGCTATACACGTACGCGTATCAGATACAAACGTTATTTGGGTATTATATTTTTCTAATATTCATTTTTGAGGTCAAAACACAATTATAATAAAATATGTAATATTGTGCCGTAATATTGTTGCGAACGGCTCGGTTTTCTTAAACAACTCGACGTGGGTACAAGGTTAAAAATAAATTGAAAACGCCTCGCTTTTTAACGGATGCGTTTATTATAATAAAATATTATAACAATAGTTCTCAATTGCAGGATACGACAAATACCTAACAAGCGAACAACAAATACCTAATGAACAGACCGTACGCATTTTTCTACGTGTGACTGCTTAGTATATACAAATATTATTCCATTCGAAATATAATACTGTTTCGAAAAACAAACGTGTGTATCAGCTATGTTGCTATTTTCGAATAATATACCTAAACCTGTTGCTAAATCGTCTAACTCGTCCTCCACCCCCCCCACGAAAGTCAGCAAATCGAGATTTAACCGCGACTAAAATTGTCGTGTTTTGGCGACGTGGCTGTTTTTAGTTTGCTATATAGTTTAGCACAAACAATTTGTTTACTGCGATGTTGTTCGACACACTAAATGCACTTTTCTTTGATCCGGTTGCCGGCATCAGCCGAGGTACGACGACGTCAAGACTGCGTTTAAACCGTTGCACTGGTTATTTGTCGATTAAATCCCGCTGTGTATTGTACAGGGAAACAAAATGTTTTGACGATGTTGCGACCGAGTTGAGCAAACGATATACCTATATCGAAAACAGCATCGGGCCAAAACGCGTCTGTTAATATTTTAAACGCCAGTTTCGGACGGATAAAATAATACCTACTATACAGTCAATAAAATATAATGCCGTTTATCGCCGAGGTTTAAAACGATTGCAACCCTGGTTCGGGAGGGCGGACACGCTGTTGTGTTATAAAATCGAATAATTTTCTCGATACAACGCAATGTTCGTGTTTTTATGGGGTCGTGGTGTTTTAGTGTCGGTAAGGGTGCGCGTTATTATATTTATATATAATAGGGGTTGGAATAACCGGTCTCCGACGACGGAGGACAAAAGGTCCTATTGCGATACAGCGCATAATACAATAGGTTATATTTTCTAATAATATCCCTTGGTTTTTTTTTCGGAACTGCCGCTACGTGTCCGTGCACCGCCGTGAACAATGGTATAAACGCCCGTTTGCGTATTAATTTTTACGGGCACCATCGTGTGTATACAGAAATGTTTTATATTGTCGTGCATAATATTCGAAGGTCATGAGACCCGAATTGTGCAGATGTGATGTATTGCCTTTGACTAAAGCGCCACAGGGTTTTCGTAAAGATCGGTTGCTTTTTATAAATATATATATATAATTTGTATCATCGATTCGAACACCGAAACAAAGCGAAATCCGCTAGAAAAAAAAATGAAATAAAAATACGAGACCCAAATATTATGTTTGATTCTCACAACGCATATTATTATTATTTTTATTAAATTTCTACGAGGTTCAGTATAATTGGGTCTTGTGGTTAAATAAAGTATCTATCCATTGTGTCGAAAAACCCTTGGCTCTTTACGCGTTGGACATTCGCCCAGTTTTTTCACGCTTAATAAGAAGACGCTACCTACGCCCGTGTTATTACCGCATGTCTCAGACCGACTACCATACCGAAATTATGTTTGCTTCAATATATAAGTAATGCACTTAAATCGCGGCGTTTAAGTGGAAATTATACATAGATTTCACGAACACAAATGAAAAACAGTTACGGTTTTAAAAAAAAATCAGTTAGGTACGGTTTAAAAAATAAAAATAAAATAAAACAGTTACGTCAAAAAAAAATGTGTATATATATAATGTAAAATGAAAATGATAGCCTTATTTGTTAAACAGTACGTTTGAGAAAAAGCATTTTTGGTATTTAGTAAGTATTATTTTGTATCATCGAAATCAGAACAACTACTACATAATTTATCTCTGTTTCCCTACCATAAATATTATATTATAAGATTTCTATCTTGATATATGCCACCTGTCCTGCTGAACACGATTATTTACCACCTGCCTTACTGCTGAAATATACCTGCCTAACCTAAACCGACAGCACTGAAGAAGTGTACCTACCTACCGTTATATATAATTATAAGAGATATGCCATATTGGAACTAAAATATACGAGTATAATATTAGTATATTATTGAACCATATTATGATAATCTAGAAACTATAGGTATTATATATGTATATATAAAAAAAATCGAAGTAATAAAAACCAATTGTCTTTACATTAGTAATGGCTAAGTACACATACATTGGGTATCATAGATTAAGTCTTAAGATATATATGTGGATAAATTTATTTATAGATAAATATGGTAATATGTTATTGTCCTTTAACTAATATGTTTAGGTTATGATATATGAACACATGTCGAGTGTAAATTACTTTTCTACCAAAAAACTTGCTCCGATAAAAAATTAAGAGAAACTAGTTTTTTTATATTTGGATCTAAACAACGTATTGAAGTAATTATTTTTTTGATTTTTCATACAGTTTTCATAATAATTGGGATAAACGTAAAATAAAAACGGAAAAATTAAGTACGGTAACGAGATCATAATTTAAAATTGTTTTCGATTTTGTTTGTCTACAAGAAATATTGCTCCGAAATTGAAGTATAGTATCTTTTCTGAAAGCAAATGATTTTGTTTATCTGATGGGCAAGAGAAACAGTTTTTAATTTTTTAAAACGTTTATTTAGTTTAACATGGTATTCTTTAAAAGTTGTTCTTAGTGATTAAAAAAAAAGTTGAGCGTAATAGATTACTTTTTTTTATGAGCGTTTTACTTTTTAGATCAAAATTAGATGGAAAGAGTAAAAATGACAGTATTTTAAAATATATGTTTAATCTCGCCTCACTTAGAATCGTTTTCCTTTAGCAATGGTTTATCGTTACGTTATTGATATTTTAGTGGTAATTAAAAAAAAAATAATTTTTGACTCGTTATCATTTTCTACATTTACAACGATAGTATGTATTACGGTATTATAACAATATTAATAACCGACAGGTCACAGGTCCTGCAGTACAAAATTTTTGGTTGATGGATGCATGGATTTTAAGAATAGGTTATAATATTACAACTCAAAATATTATCTTACAATGTTCTAATGAGCTAACGTGGTGTTTCTAATCAGAGGTTATTGATTTCTTAACCTTTTGTTCAATTTTAATTGTTCTTATTTTCATTATCGGAAATATTATATTTAATATTTTTAATTTTGTAAATATATTCTTCAAAATAAATCCATTTTATTAAATATGAAATGTGGTAATAATAATATATATTAAAATTGAATGTATTTTTTAACATCATTATGACGGGTATAAGGGCGTAGCCTCATGGCTTACTGGCAATAATTTATACAGGTCGCTCCCTCCTTTCACTATAAAAATTTTTGAATACAACACCACATGTCTGTAATGCTATATCGTCTCATCGGATATTTGTTGAACTACGAGATTATACTAACGGTAATTGTTGAAACTAAAAATTCGTACATTTTTCGAAGATTAATAATAACTATAAGTATTTCATTTGTAGAGTATAATATAATAATATAACAATAGTAAAGATATTTACACATAAATTTACTCATAAAAAAGTAAAGATATTTTTAACACCTATACTGTATTTTAGTTTTTAGCGAATCATGGACAAATTGATATTTTAGCTATTTTTTTTATCTATAGATATATTTGAGTTCCATATGTTTATATTTGTCTATATTCTGTGTATATAGGTTCAGTTTTGAAGAAAAAAAATCGTACTCATCTCGAATCAAAAATGACTTAATATACCCTTGATTGAAATAACCCTGTATTTCATATAAATGCAATATACATGTACATATAAAATGATTATATCTTCGTAAGACACCTTATGTACGTGTACAATTTAACAAACCGAAAAATATAATATTATTTTATAGTCGGATATAGCATTAAAGCATTAAAGTAATATAGCATTAAAGTTATTATCGCTACGTTATTGTGTACTGTAACAGCTATGATATATTTGCTATGTTAATATATCAGTTATGTTAATTTTCACGATCTTTTCACTGCAGTGGAATCCATTTGGACTGCAAAGTATAATAATCGTTACGTAGTACGATCGGAAAGTACAAATATTACACACAATCGCAGTATACCCGACATAATACAATTGAAACATTTCCAACAAAAAAAATCGATATTTAATTTCCCCGAACTCTCTTGTTTTGCGTGCAGTGTATATGTTAGAAAAACTGTCAATAGATTTTTATTATATGACGTGCATGCCCAGCTTCACCGAGTTAAGTCTGCAATTTGTGTATAATTTTTTTTATAATAAACGTCGACATGTTATAGTGACTGCACAAAGCTTTTTGTCCGCGACACAAAACAATGCAAATATATATAAAAAAAACCCCTCCACGTATCCATAAAAAATCAATACCCAGTAGTCCTATAAATTATATATTATTACAATATATCTAGAATTCTAGACCTAGAGGTCAACATATTTTTCGAAAGGTTAAAACTTCCTCAAAACTATTGAAATATATTACGGTCTTCAAATCATTATACGTAATAATATAACAATATTATCAACTATCACGTGGTCGTGATCCCCAATTCTATAACGCGATAATTTGAAACTTAAAAAATTAATTATTATTATATTATCATATAGTTAAAAATAATTATCTCTAATACGTACTCATTATATTGTATTATAATATTGTACTACGTGACTAGTACTTTAAATTTACAAAGGTTTATTATCGCAGTAGATATTATGTTTCTATTAAAATAATAATTTGGTAGAATTATTTATTATAATTATTGATATCAATTATGACTATTATAATTTAGTATGAGAGCAACCAATTATTTATACAATATTTAATATAAGTATTGCATAATATTGTAATATCGATTAAAAAAAAAACAATCCATAATGCGTAGTCTAAGGAGTATAATACAAACGCATGGATATCGTTAACGTATTAATTATAAAAATAAAGAACGAAAAATTGTCTAAGTGGTTAGTAATCAAATTAAATAGTATAAATTATGATGTACAAAAGAAAAAAAAATACAAAGAAAAACTTAGCCTGGAGTATTAAAAATTATAATGTATTTTTTAATTGCGTTTATTTACGACCGGTTTTTATATTCAAAATAATTATCGAGCAATAGAACAACACAAAGCCAAAATATTAAAGCGATTGAATAAACAAAAAAAAAAAAACCATTATGAATGTAGAATATATTAATATATTTTTATTTATACTGTAAACAAAATTTAATTTTCTTTTTATATTTTAATTTTAGAAATTTGTACAGGATGCTCCGATTTTCAATTATAAAACCTTTTCTGAAAGGAAATTTTATCTAGTTAGTGCTTTAGGGATATTATTTTTTGATTTCATATTAATTGGAAAGAAACGTATGAAAAACGGGAAAATTTACGAAAATAATGTTCTTATTTTTAATTATGTTTTTTATTTTAATTTCGTTAAAAATATTCGCAGGGACTTGAAATTTAGATAAAATAACTTGTATTTGT